TATTATATATAATAAAATACAGTGTATATTAAATATATTTTACATATACTAACATAATTAATATTAAAAAGAATATTTTATCCCAAAACCAAACTCTGTACTTAGAGTACAAACTGTTTCCAGGTTGATGTAGATTCTGTTGAAGATGCACGATTGATTGAGCTAGATGAGTCACAAAAAAGTGAACACACAGTGTTCATAATGCCACCAGAACCTCCTGCTGATGACGGACAGGACCGAGTGCCTAAATACAGGTACAATTTAAACAGCCACATGTAGTGAAACTAGAATGATTATGACATTAAGCAGAGCAGATGTTCCATCTTGGTGCAAGACTTGCCTTAATGTAATGTTCAGAAGAATCTTTAAAAAGACACAAACTGCCTGGATTCTGGTAAGTTTCTGAAGCTCTAGAACTCAGTGTTTTGTGTGTGCGTATGTTTGAGGGCATGTGGATTTTGGTTTTAATTTTTCAGTAACTTCTTGCCAACTTTATAGTAATACTTTTCTACATGTATTTAGTGACTTTCTTCCTGTTTGAGCCATTTATGTGTATTTTGTAGCAACTGCAGTGCACCTTGTTTCACAGTGGGAATGGCAGGGGGTGGGTAATAGATCTGCCCAGTACTTTTGACCTGCAGCTGATGAACCAAAGGGACAGAACACCCACTCCACTTTTCAGACTTCTTTCATTCAGGGTTTTTCAGCCCTATGCAGAAGGTGTGGAGTTTCAGACACTCTGGACATGACTTTTTTTCTTCCTGCCTCTCTTGAAGGTCATGAAGGTTCTGTTTCCAACTGTTGTCCTTGTTAATCATCACCTGTGCTTCCCTGACCTCATGATATATGGATGGTGGTCTGGGTCTTGTTTCCATTATCTCAGGCATCTTCTTGTGATATCTTTGTCAATAAGACTAAAATGATCTTGCTATCTTCTTTCCTTTCCCCCCCGCCCCGATTCTTTATTCTCCTGTTTGTCAGTTCTTTGCATGCAAGTTGCCTTTGTATGGCTTTCCTGCTGTCAGCAGGTATGTGAAAAGCTTTTCTTTTCTGGTTGGTTTTTTTTTGTCTTTTTTTTTTATTATCTATATAGCTATAAAAACTTCCCACGACTAGATTTCAAGCTCTTTGACAGGCCACAGGAGCTCAAGCTCTCCTTCAGCAGACACCCAGCTGGAAGCAGCATTTCAAATAGTCCAGCACTCATGGCAAAGAGGACAAAACAGGTCAGATGAGTCTTACCATAATCACTGTGTGAACACTGAAAGATATGAAGTTTTTTGGTAGAATTGACAGTACCTATTTATGCAATAGGTTAATGTTGTTAGGTATTTGAAACTATTGAGAATCAACACTTGTGAAAGACACAGAGGGCAATAAATAAACAAATTAGTATCTGAGATTACAGTTTATTTTCAAACCCATTTGTAAGCTTTAGACTATAGCATAAAACAAAAGGAACTTAATGCTTGAATGAGGAGGAAAAATAAAAAAGAGGATTAATTCCGATGCTAGTTTTTGCTTGCAGAGAGCCTTAATAAAAGAGTGGTAAGAAGGGAGCTTTAGTTAAATGTTTTTCCTTTATTATTAAATGTTTACTTTAAAGAAGCCAGCATGTGTGTTAGTAATGGCTTCTAGATTCAGGATGTTACATCGTTTGTCTGCTTTTTTGTTTTGTTTCATCCTTACAGGAGATAAAAACAGCCCATAAATTAGCCAAGAAATATTACGTAAGCCCCCCACAGTGGGCTAAGTGTCTCTTCAGTCATAGTCACAGCCTGTGGTTTATTTGTCTGCCAGCCTACATCAGAGTTGCACATCCCAAGGTCAAAGCACTGCAGCAGGCATACGATGTTCTAATTAAAATGAGGAAAACTGATGTGGAACCACTAGATGAGGCAAGTGTGAATAAAAAAACATTACCATGAACATAGAATAGAAGACAAGGTGCAAATATAGTGTGTTTCACTGCCACCACCAGGTTAAGCATAGTTACAGTTTTACCTGTTTTAAAGCCACTGTGAAATGATCTCAAAGAAGTCTGCTTTAACTAGGGCAGCTGGAAATTCATTTCCTTTTTCATCACCAGCGTAGTGTCAGCTGAGTCACGTACTCCAACTTAGTGTTGCTACTCTTCTCCCAGACTTCAAGAAGGAAGCTCTTGAATATCCCTATTATTTTAAAATGCACTTTGAATTAATGTTTTGCAGCCTTACTGAACTGAAGGGATAATGAGTTTGCGTGCAGCATACCATTCTTTCAGTAGTGTTGACAGGCTCACAGCAACAAGTTATCCTGCTTTATGCATGGGCGTTTCCTTCCCTCCTTTATTTTGCAAACAGAAGAGCCGACTGGAAAAAAAATTCAGCATTCTCAACAGTGCGACTGCTGATGTTATTTCAGCTCCTGTGATTTCCTGTTTAATTCTTGCTCCCTCTTCTGGCTGTTGAGTGTTATGTACTGAGTATCTGGTCCCACGTGGCTTTCTCTTTAACATGTGTAAAAGTTGGAAATCGAGGAAGAGCTTAAGCTGTTTCAAAATACTTGTCATCAGTACAATTATGCTTTTCTGTATCTTGTCAGGTCTGCTACAGAGTTGTAATGCAGCTCTGTGGACTGTGGGGTCAGCCAGTTCAGGCTGTGAGAGTCCTCTTTGAAATGAAAAATGCTGGAATACAGCCCAATGCCATCACCTATGGTTATTACAATAAGGTAAGAGAAGTCTTGACAAGGCATACTTGACCAATGTTTCTCTTCCTGTTGTCACTCTCCTTGTCTTGTAGCATGTTTTGAAGATTGTTTCTTCCAACTGTTCACTTGGATTTGCTGATTCTGTTAGGCAAGCAATCATTTTGGACATGCTTATGGTTCACGGGATCTACACTGTATGGTTTTGCACTGTTAAGTTCACATTTATGTACTGTTTGTCTAATCAAAAATTCTGTTGAAATACACATTTATAGTGTTTCCATTTCCAAGTTTTGGAACCTGTCTAGTGCTTCCATGTCAAAACCATCTGTTCCTAGGTGTATCCTTTAAGGTAGTAGGATCCAAGATGGAGGAAGGCTGGAATTAGGCTAGTTGAAGTAGCTTCCCCCTCTTTTCCTTGCTTCCAAGTTCCTCTAATATGCTGATAAAACTTCTTAGTAAACTATGTAAAGTAATTTGAAAAGAGGTGCTACTATAGTCTTCTGTTGCTACTGAAGTATATAAGTAAGAAAAAACCCCACCTTGTTTACTTAAAGAAATCTTGATCCATTTTTTGTTGTCACCTGTTGTATCTAGAGCTGTGGGGTAAAAGGAAACATTTCATAAAAGGAAACAGTTCATAACAACTCAAATATTTCTCCTTCTTCCCATAGTAGACAGGAAATGCCTTTTTTGAGTATGGAAACAAAAGCTTCTCACTGTATTGTGCTTCTTAGTGTAACTTTCTTACTTTTTTTGTTACTGCAATGTCTCTTTCTGTAGGCAGTTTTAGAGTCTCCTTGGCCTAGCAGTAACCGCAGTGGCATATTCCTGTGGACAAAGGTACGAAATGTAGTTCGTGGCACAGCACAATTTAGGCAGTGCTTAAAGAAATCAACGCAGAGCCTGCGAGTACCTGTGATATCAGGTAATAAGTTAGTTGAAATGGATGTATTTCTGCTGAACAAGAGCATGACATGCTTTCTGAGGGATTGCAGCTAACTTTGTGGCTTTTACAAATGGAAAATCTTTCCTTACGTGTGTAAAAATTGATAATTGCCAACTTGATGCTTGAAACAGAATGTCTTTCGTACACTGAAGAATTAATTGTCTGAATTCTATTGCCAGAATTTCATATTCTCATTTTATATGTGCAAGCAAAAGTATTTACTAGTGTCTGAAGAGGTTAGATTTATTTAAAAACCTAGAAGTTAAATCCTTTCTTACTAACCAGCTCTCATTCATGTCTTTAGCTCTGCGGAGTACCACGGGTGGAAGTGATGGGGACATGGTGAGCCATGGTAGCGTGGATAGTTCTAATGATGCTAACAGTGGGGAGCACACTCTCTTCGTCCGTGACTTAGTCAGGCTTGATTCCATTGATAATCACTCTAGCACAGGTACTAGATTCTGCTGGGTTTCACTACTAACAGTCCCCCAAAAGGCTAGATTTTCTAGTCTCGTGTTGATTTCCCCTCCACAACTATTACCTTCCCCTCTTGAGGCTGTAGAGAAGGAAGCATGGAGTTAAACTACATAAAGAAAAAGAAGTAAATTGTTGTTGAATATTGCTCCTTTACTGCAGATCATGCTTCTTCTTTAGTTTAGAGTGAACAGGAGCAGAAGTACTGCTATGTTAAAATAAATGTCTTGCTATGGTCTCATGAACCTCACTTTTTTGTGCTAATCTTCAGAAAATATATGAAGCCTCTGACATATAACTCTGTTAAATTTTGGCGTATTGTCATTTTTTCATAGAAATGATAGTCTGTGTGAATAAAACCTTCCTCTACATTAAAAGAAAGGAGTGAAAGTTGCTGAGGTGATTAGAAGCTAACACTTTAAAAGGTTTCTCCTTGATGGTAATCCGGAAAGGCCTAATTAGCATTCCTGGAATTAGTATCGTAACTATCCTTTTAAAGGCCATATTCAAGCTTTATAATAGTAGTTGCTAAAATTGGAAATAAATATAGACAATATCAGAACCTTGTCATACAGTCTTTATGAGACACCCTGGGGATGGAAAGACAGGTGATAAGCTGGAGAAAAACTCTGTGTTAAGTGTGGTGTGCCCTATTCCAGACAAACTGGAGTAAAAAGAGTGCACAGGAAGTTAATCATTTGAGGTGGCAAGACAAAATTCATGGTTCTTCATATCTACTGTAGTACTGATTACATCCTACCTGTGCACAGTCTTAACTAAACTTCCTTTCTGTGTGTACTTCAAAACTTAATGTACAAATAGTTTTTGTACACTCTTCATTTTTTTAATATCTTGAGCCTTTCTGTAAAGAGAACTTTGAGTCTGATGCCTGTGCTTCATCTGATATGCCTGCCTAGATGACTGAACTTCCCTTCTCTCTGCTCTTTGTTGCTTTGCTTTTTGCTCTTTGCTGTCTCTTGGGTGCCGCATTTGTCCTTGGCTCTCACGGTGTGGGGTGCAGACTTATATGGTGTGAAGCCTTGGATGCACGTATGCATTATTTCTACCCTTGAATGTTACTTCTGCAGGTAATTCACCCATTTATCAGTAGGGTGTTTTCACTTATGTGTAAAGCAGGGATACTAACATTATTGAAATGATAGAAAGAAAATAAGGATGGAAGAATATCAGAACTTAGTCTTCTATATAAAAGGTTTTTAAGATCGTAGCCAAATGTAATTATTGATTGATAGTCAGACTTTTAAGTTTTATTATGTTTTGCATGTTTGCTCTTTGTTGGTAAAATAAACGGTATTGTAGATAAATTATGGCTGTCACTCAAGTTTTATGGAGCTTCCTAATACTTTTCTTGCTCAATAACTTACTTACCCTTTGATCATTTTAAATACTGTCATTTATTCTATTAGGTAGTCTAAGGCATATAAATAATCTTGTTTAACATGTGGCTGTGGGATATGTCCCATATAGTATTTCTGTATTTTTACATATACAGCAGCACTTCAGATAAAATTAACAAAGAGAAGAATGTCTTTCTGGGTTGTTACCTGTGGCAAACTTTTTGGACTACTCTAAAAAGTTACAGCTGTCAAGTTTAACTGGTATCCTGGAGGAACAGACTTTTTAGATTATTTTTTTTTCTATTACATTTTATACTTTGAACTATAGCACAAAGATGTAGCACAGTTTATGGTACAGTTCTTTTCAGGGATGTATTCATTGTTAGAAGCTTACTCAATTACTGTTGTGCTTGTCTAAATTCCTTTTGTACATGCATTTGAGAATTTAGCTTGCCCAGCAATGAAGTATTTCATGCTAATGAGAAGGGAAAGGAATGAAAGGAGATACAGTGCATTAAGAGTAGTCACTATAGTGTTCCTGGGGAAATAACTTGTATTTAATAAAATAATTAGAAAAGTAAATTTGTATTGTATAGCCTAATTATCTCTGCTGTCAGCATCACCAAGTAGATTGTGCACAGATTAGGCATTTTGGTGATCTCACTATGAACTGTTCTGGTGAAACAAAATATGAAACAAATTATTTTCATTTCTTTTATTTTCTTATTGAAATACAAATTTAGGAAACAAAACCAAATATGAGGCATGTGTTTTGTATTTCTTCAAACAGGTGGTCAGTCAGACCAGGGCTATGGATCCAAGGATGAACTTTTAAGAGATGATGGGGATAGTCTTCATGCAACTGAAACACAAGTAGAGAAAGATATTTCTTCTAAAGCGGAAGACCTAGTAGGAGGTTAAGTATGCATGTTTACACTGATGAAAGCTTCTTGTAATAAATCTGCTTCATGCGTTAGAATACCACAAATACTTAATGTATTGAATTCGTAACATTGCCAAGGTCAAAATATGACTGTATGACATGTGGTGGAGTACTTCTGTGCCCTAGATAATAGCAGTGGAATACATGTAGGTAGAAATAGCCTTTTATTAGACAAATATAATATAGCTGGAAAAACTGGACAAGTGCTGTGGGCACAGTATTTTGATTTCCATTCCTCTCATTTGTATATTTGAAAACTTGACCCATTTTTTAGTTGTACCAGTGGACCTAATAAAAGATACTACTTTTTCCTACAAGCACTTCCCAGCTGTAGAAAATAGGGTAATCTCTTGTCTTCTATCCAGATTTTGCCCTTAGTTTTTCTGTATTTTGTCTTTCTAATTACTGAATCTGTTTCATATCTGTGTTACTAGATACTTAATGTGAGTTAAGGCATCTATAGCTGTTATTAGACAAATAAGTCCTGCGTGAAAATCTGAGAACTGCTGTTCCTCCCCTACTTAGGTTAGTTAAAAAAAAATACCAAGGCAAGAAATTGGCATATGCTCTAACCTTTTGAACAGCTAAGGAGTCTCTGCGTAATACTGTCTACTGTCATCTGTCTCGGTATTATTTCCAGGAAATGCTCAGTACCTAGTAGTACTAATCCTTTAGGTTGTAATTACATAATTCAACAGTGTCTGAGTGTATGTTTTCTATGACAGTGCAAATGAAATTATTTAGTTAAATTAACTAAAGTTCACATTCTCTTTCTTGTAGAGGTTTGTATTGAGAAATCTGATGAAAAACAACAGCTGAATATAGAAACTCACAGTCCAACAGACCCACCTGCTTGGGGTAACAGTATCGTGAAAGTTCCATCTGGCATTTTTGATAGCAGTTGGAGGAAAAACAGTGCTGGTGAGTCATTGGGTGAAACAGAGCTTGCCAAAGTCCTTGTTGTGCTATAGTGGTTTGCAGTCTTTTTCATGCTATGAAAAGAAACAAAACTTTTATTTGAGGAGCAGGTACCTTGGACCACATTTGCTTTCCACCATTATCCTTTGCAGGTGACTTAGAAGGAACCTGTGGATTATAAGGTTGAAAATCACCATTGGATAAATTGAAATCAAGATTTTCCCTGTCCCGCACTGAGAGTGTTTCAGTAATGTACTAGAAAACCAAGAGAATTAGGGTCTCTACTCTTGATTTTGTCACATAAACCTTGCTGACCTTGGACAAGTCTCTTTATTCCTTTGGCTTACATTGCCATTCTATAACCTGGCAATAGTGCAGGTTGTCTTTGTGCCATACAGAATTTAATTACATATCTGGAGCTTTCTGATGAGGAAGACTTGTGAATATATAAAAGCCGAATCTTGGGGCTCATTTGTTTTTCTGCCTTTATGCCTTGTACTTGTCTAAGGCAATGTAGTCCAGCTTCAGTGTAAGTTGATAGCAAAGAATTGAGTCTCAGACAAGAAGTTGCTCAGTTTCTGGCAATTATGAGAGCTGATAACTAGTGAAGAAGCAGCATCAATGTGAGACTCAAACATCTTCCAGCAGTGAATCCAGTACAGAGAGTCCTCTGTTGGGATTCTAATATTGTAGAATTCCTGTACTGATGGAGGTTTTTGCCTAGCTAACACAGCTTTCTATGAAAGATAAATTCCCAATTCCCCTGAGGAAATAGGAGTAATAGATTTATAAGATGAGTTTATATCTTCCACATGCTAAATTAAATTTAGCTTTTTTCTAAATATGACTGTGTCATAAACAAAATAATGCTTCAGTGTTATGCAAACACACACAATAGTTGGATTTTTTTTCAGAACCAGAATGAACTATGGAGTTTAATGTATAGATCTGTGAATATAGCTCTGGAAAAAAATAAATAGAGCAATCTTTACTTATAATCATACTTTCCTTTAGTTCATGGATGTAGTACCTACTCTCTGCTGAGTGTTGGCACAAGGAAAGGAGGTAGAAGCCATAAAAGGCTTTGACTTCAGGGAGTCAAAGAGCAGATCATTTTCAATCTGCAGAATGCCTTTGCAGCAAGTAAAATAAGTTGTAATACTAGTGTAACTTCTTAATGGATAACATGAGATTGTGATGCTCCCAGTCTTCTCACAGTAAGGAGATAAGGAGATTTTACATGATCTCAGAAAATAAACATTTTTGGTGGCTATGGATACCATATTAATGCCTTTTCTCTTTTAGAAACTGGTTCTAGCCCACTGTTCATAACTCAGGATTCAGTTGAAGATGTAGTCTTTGGTGATGTTTCTCCTAAGAAAACAAGTGAAAAAGGACAGAAGAGACAGAAACTGTTTTCGGAGAGAAGCTGCAGTTTTAGCAGTGAAAGCAGAGCAGGAATGCTGCTGAAAAAAGGCAGCTTGGACTTGCATTCTAAAGAAATGGCAATAATGATGGGAGCAGATGCCAAGATCCTAACAGCAGCTTTGTCTGGGGCCAAAACTTCACCTTGTCATATGAATAAATCCCACAGCTTCGAAAGTATTGTTGACCAGCAGGTTCATGGCATAAGTGGCACTTATGAGAGTGACTGGGGATTGGAGCGTAGGTCTTCACCAGTGCTGGAAGAACCTGGGGAAGGGCAGGAGCATCTTGAGAATGGGAGAGATGAAAACATGACCACAGTGGAAGACATGAACCCTGAACAGTCAGCTGAGTCCAAAAACCAGAAACCAGAATCCAAAGATGCAACTACTAAAAGGAATAGTTTTTATGGAGTTGTTAAGCCTATTGAAAGGGAAGATGTTGAAGTAGGCTTGGACCCTTTATCTTTGCTGGCTACTGACAGCATGGAACCAAGGCATCCAGAGGATGTTGAGGAAAAGTTGATGTCACCAGTTGCAGCACGTAATTTGGCAGATGAAATAGAGAGTTACATGAATCTGAAGAACCCATTGGGTAGTAAGTTTCCCAGCATGGAACTGCACAAACCAGATACAAAAGCAAAAGTCTCTGGTACACTTGGTCACTCCCATGAAAGGAGGTCAAGCCTGCCTTTGGATCCCATCCTGCCATCCCCCAAGTCTTACGAAAATCGGAGAAGTCCTTGTGTTTCCAGATCCAAAACATTCACTGGACGACCAAAGCAACAAACTCACCCACGAGTTCAGAAGGAGCGGTCTTCATCTTTGACAGGACTTGGTCGTTCTTCTCCACATGGCTCATTAGGATCCGTCGTAACAACTTTATCCAATCTGAAGTTAGACAATATACTGTCTGGACCAAAAATGGATGTTCTGAAATCAGGCATGAAGCAGGCTGCCAGTGTGGCCAGTAAGATGTGGGGAGTTGTAACTTCAGCATATAGTTACTCAGACGATGAGGCAAGTGTTTTTCAAGATGAAAAATTTGGGGAGACAAAGTTAGAGGAGTAACTTCTGTGTCCAGAAGATTGCTTCATGAGATGGTGTTTTTTATTAAGTATTGACATTTATTAGCTAATAAAATTGTATTTTATGTATGGCAGAGTTTTCCTCTGTCATTGAAAAAACACTTTTCACACAAAAGCAAATTAAGTGATCTTGATGCATTAAACTTTTTTAAACTTTGAGTCTTTGTTCTCAACATCCCCCCACTTATTTATCTATTTATCTTTTTATTTATGTTAAAAGAAACTGCACCAAGAAACCCTAGTAAGATCAAAATTATGTCGTCCTAAATAATGTCATACTGCCTGTCTTATTTTAAAAAAAAAATAAGAAAAAAGTTGTGAAAACAAATCACAAACCTAAGAAGACAGGTTGGTGAGGATTAAAGTTGAAAGTAGTAAAGGACAACCTGAGATCTAGTAAATTCAGTCATCAGGAATTTGGAAACTAAATTTTATGGTTCTTGGGTGAGCATACTTGATTAACAACGTCTTTTTCAGAGTAAACCATTTCAGAGTATAGTGATACAAATGGAAGAGGAGATGGAGGGATGAATATTGTAACTTCCTCCTTTACGTATACATCTTGTTATTGTGCCTCCAGATATAGCTTTCTCTTTTAGAAAGGCCTCCGCTTGATCCAGTTAACCCCTTGATCTGGTGGCTTTAAGGATCTTTTGTCCCCCCCCCCCTTCAGGCTGTTAAGATAGATTCTTGTTTCCTTTTTCAAATTCTCCTTTCTTTCCCCAACCTCCTTGAAAGGTGGGAAAGGGGAAAGGTAACTGTCTTTATTTCTATGGAAACAAATTTAATTGCTGTTACTTATAGGGTCCTTTCTATGACATTAAGAAAAACCAACAAAACAACCAAACATTTTTCTTTTTTTCTTTTTTCTTTTTTTTTCTTTTTTCTTTTTTCTTTTTTTTTCTTTTTTTTTTTTCTTAAAGCAGATTTTGCCTGTGACAATCAAAACTCACTGGTTTGGTTTCTCTCTTGAGGGTTTTTTTTTCCTATGACCTAGGTTCTCCCTTTGTTCCTTTCTATTATACTGACCTATTATGTAGAATTTTGTTTAATGACACATCATCTGCAACTTCCCTTTTTAATATCCTAATTATTATACTTTGTCACATGCTGTGTCTTAGTGACTGTGTTGTTGCTGCATCATTGCAGCTGGTATGTTTCATTCCTGTCTTCAATTCTGAAAATATGACTTGAACTCAGACTTTTTTTCTGATAATTCCTTCATTTTGTGTAGTTTCTGACAAAGCACAATTTCTGCATCATTTTTCTTGTTTCTTCTATTATGAAGAGGTTTATATCCTTGTCTCTTTGTCACTCAGTTTGATCTTCTGCTAAGTATTTCACTACTAAAGCCTTTCATTTTTCCAATTTCCTTCGAGTTTGTCCAATATCTGCTCTTTTTGGGGTTGTGTAGATTTATGTTAGATCTAATTTTACATCAGGATTTTGTCTTAATCTGCTACTTTATTTATTAGGATAAAGATGGAAGTCAAATAATGAATCTGGAAGTACTCAAAAATGCTAATCATCTTCTTCTTGTATTAAAGGAAGAAACCAATCGACCAGACTTTAACTTCCCTGCTGGTTTTGAAGATAATATTTTAGGAGATAATCTATCATCAAGAACTGGAGTCCCAGGGCTAATTACGAATGAGCTTGCACAAAGCACTACTAGTCTTGGCAGCAGCAATAGCAGTGGAGAAGCAGGAAGACAGCATTACAGTGCAGGTGAGGTTTTGGTTCCCCCTCATAACTTGTTTATAATATAACAAACAGGGAAAACCATTATGTGTGAATCATTCATAACAGTGGAAACTATGGTAATCTGAAATTATTTCAAGCCCTTAAGATAAGTACAAGCAAATTTTTACTTCCATTCTATACTCTTCTCTTGCAGTAGCAAATAGCTAATGCTTCTCTTTTTGTTGAATGTATAAAAAGTTGATAAAAAGTACAGGGATTTAACTGTAAAAATACTTCCTCTGTGTATGTGATAGGAAAATTCCTAACTAGTTGTATCTAGGAACACATAGTCATTTATGTAGAGTCATAATACCCTGAAAGTTCTTAATATATTAATGAAGAAAAGCAGAGCAGTGTTCAAGAACTGTAAATAGTTGCATAACTAACAGGGGCAGATCTTTTGAGGGGAAAAAATGCAAAGCCAAACAAACAAAACCAACCCCATAGCCTTAAGCCCACAAAAAAAAATAAAGCAACACACACAAAAAATGCATCAGATTTACTGTGGAATAGGAGGTATTGGATGCATACTTAATTTGAAGTTGTAAATCATTGGTGAATATATGACTGCTAAATTGTCATTGTCCTTTCCACCCCCTCTCCCCTGTTCTAAAACTGGATGAAGTAAATCTAATAATTTTCAATTCAGATTTGCTTCAATTAGATTTGATTCTTATTTTGAGAAAAATGTGTTGCTGAACCAGCTGTGGGTTTAGTTTAGCTCTCTTTGCAGTACTTTAATGACACGACTATCATAAAGCCATCTGCATCAAGAGAGGAGGAACTATCTTGCGGACTGTACATAAGCTGACCTTGTCTAGCAAAATCATGACGAGATGTGTTCTAGTTCCAGTTAGTTAGGAGGGTTGTAAGAACTAACTATAAAGAGTGGCAGCCATCAACAGGATATGTAAAATTTGTTCACAAACCTAAACTTTAGCTGAAGAAGCAGAGGAGCCTTCTTTATGATTGGGGCACTCTGGTGGTGATTTTTTTATTAGGCAAGTTTGACTGGGCTTGTGAGAGGAAGTAATGCCCATAGTTTTGCTTCCTAAAACTGATTCCAATAATTTTCTTCTGGTAAATATATTCCAAATCTGTTTCCCCTTCTCCTTGGTAAAGCTCATAACCATAAAACCCAGACTTACCAAAGAAAGATTATTTATTTTACTGCAATGTTAGCCAGGGAAAACTTAAGCACAGTAATGGCATGTTTGGTATAGAATCATAGAATCTTTCAGGTTGGAAAAGACCTCTAAGATCATCAAGTCCAGCCATCGACACAACACCACCATGTCTACTAAACCATGTCCTGAAGTGCCACGTCTACACGTTTTTTGAACACCTCCAGGGATGGTGACTCCGCCACCTCTCTGGGCATCCTGTTCCAATGCCTGACCACTCTTTCGGTGAAGAAATTTTTCCTAATATCTAATCTAAACCTCCCTTGATGCAACTTGGGACTATTTCCTCTTGTCCTTTTGCTTGTTACTTGTGAGAAGAGACCAACACCTATGTCACTACAATCCCCTTTGAGGCAGTTGTAGAGAGCAGTAAGGTCTCCCCTCAGCCTCCTCTTCTCCAAGCTAAACAACCCCAGTTCCCTCAACTGCTCCTCATAAGATTTGTACTGTGGACTCTTCATCAGGTTTGTTGCCCTTCTCTGGACATGCTTCAGCACCTCAATGTCTTTCTTGTAGTGAGAGGCCCCAAACTGAACACAGAATTCGAGGTTCGGCCTCACCAGAGCTGAGTACAGGGGCACAACCACATCCCTGCTCCTGCTGGCCATGCTATTTCTGATACAAGCCAGGATGCTGTTGGCCTTCTTGGCCACCTGGGCACACTGCTGCCTCATGTTCAGCCAGCTGTCAACCAGCACCCCCAGGTCCTTTTCCAGTGAGCAGCTTTCCAGCCACTCTTCCCCAAGCCTGCAGCATTGCATGGGGTTGTTGTGACCCAAGTGCAGGACCCGGCACTGAGCCTTGTTAAACCTCATACAGTTGGCCACGGCCCATCAATCCAGCCTTCCAGATCCCTCTGCAATCTGTATCATGTGTCTTGCCTGGTGCTATTCTTCTGTTTGCTATTTAGATATGGATGTATCATTCAAGAAATCTTGAACCACTTTTTAGACTATATATATTGAGCCATTCTTTATTCTTTCTTTGTATTTTGAGATTTTATTCACTGATGCTTTTTTTCTCTTACCAATCTGTGATATATTGTGTTAGACAAAAATAACTTTGGAATGTTAATTACAAAATTACATTTATTTATATTGTAATGATAATACCAGTGAAGTTATGGAGCTACACATATCTTTGAGGATCATCTAGTATAATTTTCTGTCTTGGTCAAACAGAAATTATTTTCTTTGGGAAGAGATGAATTACTCTTTCCTTGAATACAAGACCCAAATGACTTTTTCTGTACAGGTGAAGTTTCATTCCCAAGAAGTACAAAAGTTCTAGAGTCTGAGAAGTCAGAGCACAGCTCTTCACATAATACTAGTTTATCCAGCATTTTCCAGAACTATGCGATGGAGGTAAGATTAATAAACTCATAGATGAAAGATAGAATTATTCAATATTATTGTATGCAATAATTACCTGTTTAGTTGGATTTTTCAAACCAATTTTTTTCCATGTTTCTACTACAAAGATGCCTGATATTTTGAGCCTAGAGTGTTACAGTAGCTTTAAAAAAGAAAAGTTCATTAAATGCTTTTTCTCTTGAGAGAAGAGACAATTGAGGGAAGGGTCAAAACTTAAAGTGAGACAGAAATTAGAGAGGAAGCAAGATTTTTTTCCTTTTAAGCTTTTTTTAGTTTGGGGGTTTTTGTTGTTGTTGTTTTTTCCCCTCTATGTGTTGTTACTAAATAATTGTGGTAGGTTGACCACAGCCAGCCCTCACCCAGGCATTTGCTTGCTCCCCCCCTCATCAGGATGGAGGAGAGTATCAGAAGGGCAGAAGTGAGGAAAAAAGCTTGAAGGTCAAAATAAAGAGAGTTTAATAAGTGAATTGAGAAAACAAAACAGGAGGGGTGACAACAAAAACCAAGTGATGCAAAGGCAATCAGTCAGCACCATGACACACCATGCAAACAGCTACCTTGGAAAAGCTCCCCCACAACACCCGCAGCTTTATGACTGAGCATGATGTTATATGGTATCTCTTTGGTCAGTTGGGGTGAGCTGTCCCCTCCCAACCATTTGTGCACCCCCAGCCTCCTTGCTGTGTTGGGGACAGAATGAGAAAGAAAAGGGCATGACAGAGTGTGAAGCGTTGTTCAGCAATAGCTAAAACATTCGTGTGTTATCAACATAGAGTTGGTCACCAGTCTAAAACACAGCACCATAAAGACTATGAAGAAAATTATCACGGTCAAACCCAGCATAGTAGTGATTTAGTATGCCACTCTCTTTCAGTTGTCACTTGTAGATACTTTCAGACTTCAGATACGTAGGCAATGGTCACTGTGTTTGCCTGGGTCACTTTTCTCTCAGCTGTAGTATTACTTTGCTAGGTCCCATGAAATTTTCTTTTATGCTTGATGTTCTGGAGATCTAGGCTTGTCAGACTTCTGCACTGCATTATGTAAGGGGCATAGCATAGTAAAAGAAAAATGTTGCCGTTGGGCAAATATCTAAAATATATTCGATCTAAAATATATTATATGCTGTATTTGGTGGTGGTTTTTTGGTTTTGTTTCCTGTGAGAGTGAAACAGTGAAGTAAGAGGAAGCCTAAAAAATTATAGACCATTCTTCAGCTAGTACAGGATTATTTTTTACCATCTTTTCTCCAGTTCTCAATCTAGTTTAGTGATGAGACTTTTATTAGGTAAAAAACAACTTCCTTTTTTTACCACATGTATTGGGTCTGCATGGCAAGGTTTTGGTATTGGAGGGGCTACAGTGGTGCCTTCTGTGAGAAGATGCCAGAAGCTTCCCCCATGTTCCATAAAGCCAATGCCAGCCAGCTCCAAGATGGACCCGCTGCTGGCCAAAGCTGAGCCCATCAGTGACAGTGGTAGCACCTCTGTGATAACATAGTTAAGAGGGGAAAAAACCTGCTGTGCCACAGCAGCTGGAAGAGAGGAGTGAGAATATGTGAGAGAAACAGCCCTGCAGACACCAAGGTCAGTGAAGAAGGAGGGGGAGGAGGTGCTCCAGGTGCTGGAGCAGAGATTACCCTGCAGCCTGTGGAGAAGACCATGGTGAGACAGGCTGTCCCCCTGCAGCCCATGGAGGGACATGGTGGAGCAGATATCCACCTGCAGCCCATGGGGGACCCCACGCTGGAGCAAGTGGATGCACCTGAAGGAGGCTGTCACCCTGTGGGAAAGCTGCACTGGAGCAGGCTCCTGGCAGGACCTGTGGCCCCATGGAGAGGAGCCCACAGTGGGGCAGGTTTTCTGGTGGGATCTGTGACCCCATGGGGGACCCACACTGGAGCAGTCTGTTCCTGAAGGACTGCACCCCATGGAAGGGACCCATGCTGGAGCAGTTTGTGAAGAGCTGCAGCCCATGGGAAGGACTCGCGTTGGAGAAGTTCATGGAGTACTGTCTCCTGTGGGAGAGACCCCACGTGAGAGCAGGGGAAGAGTGTGAGGAGTCCTTCCCCTGAGGAGGAAGGAGCAGCAGAGAGAACGTGTGAACTGACCACAACCCCTATTCCCTGTCTTCCTGGACTGCTGGGGGGGGATGAGGTAGAGAAATCTTCAGTGAAGTTGAGCTTGGAAAGAAGAAAGGGGTGGGGGGAGGTGTTTTATGATCTTGTCTTATTTCTTATTACCCTATTCTGACTTTTGATTGGTAATAAATGAATTTCCCTTAGTCAAGTCTGTTTTGCCCGTGACAGTAATTGCTGAGTGATCCCCCTGTCCTTTTCTTGACCCACGAGCCTTTTGTCATATTCTTCTCCCCCTGTCCAGCTGAGGAGGGGTAGTGATAGAGCAGCTTGGTGGTCACCTGGTGTCCAGCCAAGGTCAACCCACCACACCACTACAAAAGGTTTCTTTGGTGTTTGGCTGGTTTTGGGTCTTTTCGTTTTTTTAGAGAGGTAGACATGCATTTACTTATACAATTGAAACTAATTTGTATGTGCTGAAGGCTTCATAGGAGTGAGCAATTGCAAATGCCGAATTAGTAGCATTTCAGGGTAGTGCTTTGTCCAGGTCTCAAAATACCTAACAAAAAGAAATTATTAGTATTTGCATTTCATAGGTAAAAGTTTTATGGACAAAATAAGTCTGAGTATGGTGAGTAAGTAGTGATGAACTCATGCTTCCCAACTGGCATTCTAATACCTGTTAAACTCCTGTGGATACTAAACCTATAAAAACAATTGTAAAAGATAATATTCACTCTTTGCTGTTCTAGGTATTGATGTCAAGCTGCTCTCAATGTAGAGTTTGTGGTGCTTTGGTTTATGATGAAGAAATTATGGCTGGATGGACAGCAGATGATTCAAACTTGAACACTACCTGTCCTTTCTGTACAAGTACCTTCCTACCTTTACTTAATGTTGAATTTAAAGACCTACGTGGCTCTGCAAGGTTAGTGGCTTTTATAGATACACGCTTTCTGCCTTTGCAATTGGATATTGGTGATATTTTTTCACAAAATGATCTTAGTTGTATCTCCCAGTATTTTTGTCTATGTTCACAAGAGTATCACTGCCTGTTCAACAGTTGTGATTGTACTGAAGGTAATTATAAGTCCTGTAAACTATTGAGTTTCATTGTTAAACAGTCAAAAAGCAAATAACTGGTTGCCTTTTTGCCACTTTTTCATATTTTCTCTGTAATCATATCTGTACAGAAGGTATAAGTCTGTTTTCATTTTGTTTAGCTTTTAAAACAAAGCTAATGTATCATGAATTTTTTAAAAGCATATGAAGCAGTTTTAAAATCTGTCAGCAAATAGTTTCTCTCAAATTAAAGTCTCCAAAACAAATATTAATGGCTTTTAGTTACAGATGCTCCAGCTTATTGTTTCTCCAGTAGTTCTCCAGTTTAAGTTTCTCTGCTTACTATTTTTCCCTCTTTTACTTCCACTGTGAAAGCTGGAACTTATTTTAAGGTAATAAGGAAGTTCTCTGTGGAGAACAGTGATGAGTGGCATTCCTCA